TGGGTTGGTGTGTAGCACGGACGACTTTACATGATCATTCCAAGTGAAGTCTGTGGCTCAGGAAACCACACATTCTGGTAAATTGTATGCTAAACTATTAACTCAGGAAGGGGACAACAAGGAATTATGTGTGAGTCTGGCATCCCGAGGTCACCGAAGGACATTACTGATTAGGTTCAGGATCTCAGTGTTTTGGGTCATTTGAAGAAGTAATCTCTTTCTGTCAAATGGGTGGGTCAGTCTCAGGGTGGGGATTTGTCATAGGAGGAGAGAGGAACTAGAAGAGGATGGATACCCCTAAAAGGATAAAACTTTCCCATGACTATTTTCATCTTTGCCCTGGTCTCACAGGCTAGCAAACTAGGTTGACTCAGACTACATTTCTGGACTGGCTTTACAGAATTCCTGTGGAATGAGGCCGGTATAAATAGATAGAAAAACATCCTTATTAAAGAAATACCATTTGCTTAGCTGAAATATTAGGTTTTATTTTTAACCTTTACATTAATGAAATGTTCTTCAAAAAAATCCAATAAGCTAGTCAGAACCAAAATTTTAAAATATCAAATTAACCTCAGAATAGACCAATTTTATCTACTACTCAGAAACCATGGGAAAACACTGGTGTCTCTCTCCACCTTCCAGAACAGACTGACTACTACCTTCCAGACTTAGGAAGGCTCTTAGTCATGAGGTAAGTCATGAGGTAAGACAGGGCCAGCAGAAAATGTTGGGCAGGTTGCACCCTCCCCAAGGGTGCCCAACTAATAAGGTAGAGTCCAGGCTGAAATTCATTCTTCAGCTGCTCTGGTGAGGCTGCAACAGCCTACAGAAAGAAAATTTTTCTCACTGTTCCACTGGAATGGGCCCTTCTCTGCAATTTGTCTGCCCCCAGGTGGCATGCTTTTCTAATTAGCACAAAAGCAATGTATGAGCTAATGGTGGCCTTGAAAATTAACACAGGGTTCTCAGATCCATTGCCTGTCCTTTGAAGGCTGGGACCATAAATATTCTCTGTCTGGCCTTGGGCCTTGGAGCCAAACATTGACCTAAGCTATTTTTCCATTCCAGTTGAAACAGACTGTGAAGACAGCAGTTCAGCTATACATTCAAAAGAGGAGTAATTCCCATTTTCTGAGAACCCACTAGTAAGTGGAGGTGGCAGGGGAGAATTCAAATTTGAGGCAGTAGCATGACATAATGGGAAAAAGCCTGGGCTTGGTCTGCCATTTACTTACTGAGTGTTTAACTTCTCTGGGCTTCAGTGAGGATTCGCTAAGATAACAGATGTAAAAAGCTGGGCACAGTGCTGTGTGGCACACAAGAGGCATTCAGTTCCTATGCCTTTTTCTGTTACCACCCTGACTCCAAAGTTAATTCACACTGTTCACATGCTTGGCCTTGAAACCTCACTCAGTAAAGCATAAGGATGGGTATACTAGACAGAATGTTAGAGCAAGAGTCAGGAGATGTGCGTCCCAGTGCCAGACATATCCCCTATCACAGTACCTTGGGTAAGTTACTTCCCTCTCCTGACCCCATCAGTAAAACAGGAGAACACCCCTAGCTCTGATGCTGAGAGAAAAAAGCAGACGACATCACTTTTCTTGGGCATCTGCCATGAGATATGCGCCGTGTTAGGCCCTTTTACATACCGTATATCCTCTAAATCAGCACTGTCCAGTAGAACTTTTTGTAGTGGTGGAAATGTTCTATATCTGCACTGTCTAACATGGTAGCCACTAACTGTAAGTAGCTATCGAGCCCCTGGAATGAGACTAGTGCAACTAAGGATCTACATTTTAAAATTTCACTGCATTTAAATTTAGCCACATATGACTAATGGCTATAGTATTGGATAGTGTGGCTCTAAGATTATGAAATAGAAATATTTGTTCCTATTTAATATGTGACACTGAGGCTTAGAAAAGTTAAATAACTTAAAGTCACTTAACAAGTAAATAACTAAACCAGATTCAAAGCCAAAAAGTAGAAAGCTTAGTAAAATAATATGGGCAGATATGCCAGGAATTATCCAGGCTCCACTATTTACAAGTTATATGACCAAAGAAAAATAATTACACACTGCAGAATGCACTTTCATTATCTATAAAATGATGATATCATCCAATTTGCAGGCCTATTGTTGAGATTAATGGGTGTGTAGAGTGTGTGGCCCATAACAGGTTTTCAACAACTGTTTCCTCACCACCCTGATAACTTCAACACACATAGAAGAGATTTAGACATATGGCTGGGTGCAGTGACTCATGCCTGTAATCCCAGCACTTTGGGAGGTGAGGCGGGTGGATCACCTGAGATCAGGAGTTCAAGACCAGCCTGGCCAACATGGTGAAACCCCATCTCTACTAAAAATAGAAAAATTAGCTGGGCGTGGTGGCACATGCCTGTAATCCCAGCTACTCGGGAGGCTGAGGCGGGAGAACTGATTGAACCGGGGTTGGGGGTAGGGGGAGGGAAGGGCGGAGATTGCAGTGAGCCGAGATCGCACCACTTCACTCCAGCCTGGGTGACAGAGCGAGACTCAGTCAAAAAAAAAAAAAAAAAAAAAAAAAAAAAAAAAAAAAAGAAGAAGAAGAAGAGATTTAGACATAAATAAAAAAGGCAATTCAAGAGAAAAAAAAAATTTTTTGGGGAATTAAAAAACAAGAAAGAAAACATTCAGAAGCTTTTACGTGATATCCTATTATAGAATGGAGATGAGGAAGGGTATGAGTAGGAAACACCGAAATATTTCCACTTACTTGGTTTCCTTTCCTGCACTCTTCTTGACACTCCAGTCAACATTAGCCGAAGCAGGGAACAAGTTATTTCTAATGTATTTTTAGGCTTGGAAAGACAAGTCATTATGGTTATACAACAGAGTACTATTAGGGGCTTGGGCTAGAGGCAGGTGAAGTTCAAATCCTGGTTCCCATACTTGTTGTGTGCACTAAGAAAATAATTTGACATCTCTACACATTAGTTTTCAATCTGTAAAATAGGACTGATAATATGGATGGTGTGTGAAAACATACACTGTGCATCATTTATTATTTTGCTTTACATTCTGTAGCACCCTCTAGTGGTGTATACAAAAATATGCATTGCATTTCTACTCTCCAAAGCAGTGGTTCTCAAACTTCAGTGTGTGCTGGAATCACTGGGATAGTTTGTAATAACACAGATTACCAAACCCCACCGTGTGAACTTCTGATTCATTAAGTTTGAGGTGGGACCTGAGAATGTGAATTTCTGACAATTTTTCAGGTGATGCTGATGTTTCTGGTACATCCAGGAAACACATCTTGTGAACCACTGCTCTAAAAAAATCCCTCTTGTGTACAAGTATATAAGATAGACAATTGAAAGGGGCATGATTTTTGTTGTTTGACTTTGATGTAGTACTGCTCATCTAATAAGGACTTGGTGATGAATTAAAAAAAAATCGACATGAAGGATATAACACAGCATCTAAAATATAGAAAGCATACAAAAAACTGAGGATCACAGAACATAAATCATTTGCCCAGGGTACTGAGACTAGTAAGTGGTGGAATGAGGTTAACAATTAAGTCTCTTTCTCTTACTCCAAAGACACAATAAAGTCTACCAATACCACTACAGAAAATAGGGTGCAAACACACATATCTGATACAAATTTCAAGAGAAAAGGAAAATCAGTTTTCAATACCAGGGTCCAAGTTTTACTGATGAGTTCTTATCTCTTTACTAAAGGAATAGCTATCTGTATTTTCAGTTTGGGTGAGTTGCGAGCATTTGAAAAGGTGAGGAAAAAGGGTTAGGATCTTCAGCATCAGTGCTTGGGTCATTCATTAACTCTTTGATTAAACAAGGCAAGGACAAAAGAAGCGAGGGATGGAGAGGGGCCTTCCCCCCCGCCCCCCCACCCAAGGAGAAAAGGAAAGAAATGAGCAAAATTATTTGGATCTTGTGTCACAGTTCCCTGCCTACTAGTGCTATTCACAGAAGCTGATTTTATTTTTTCCTAGGAATGAACGATATCCATGATGCCTTAGATATTAGCGTTCAGCAAATCAAGAAAGGGGAGGGGGGAGGGAAACAAAATCCCAGAATCCCAGGGACCACACAGCCAATCCTTTGCTGGGATTTGGCGGCATCTAGTGGCGAACTCGAGAGGTATAAACCTTACCCACAGAACTTTCTGGAAAATTAACAGTGCGTATTTGCCTGAAGAAGGTCAGTGTGCTTGCTTGGAGATCAGGACGCAAAGGTAAGAGCGCCCTAGTCACCATAGAAATCCGGAGTCTCTAACGGAGGGGAAGGCTGTCATAGATAGATATTCTCATAGGAAAATTGTATTTGTGCCAAGAGAACTGCACGCAACCTTGAAGGGAGGGGGGAGGTGTGGAAGAGGGGAGGGAGGAGGATACTAGACAACTTGAAAGAAGTCTCCCTTTGGAGTTGCTAATGTGACGATGGAAGGCTTTGGCTCTGAATCACTGGAGGGCTGTGGTTTACGACCGGATTTTGGCACAGAGGAAAACGTAGGACGTGTATTTTTAAAGTATTTAAATCAGTAGGGAAAGCCAAAATATTTCTGACAGTGCCCCTTTATCTCTGTTATTGTCGCCTTGCCTTAATTATTTATTTTCCTTTTCATTAGAACATTTTCAAACAAAATACAGAAATAGATAACAACCTGCGCGCAGTAGCTAACCCCTCCCCGCAACTCCCACCCCAATCACGCACGCGGGCGCGCGCCGTGGCTCTCACCAGTCCAAACGCCAGGGGCGCACGCCTGCGCAAACACATCACCTCCAGCGCCACGAGGGCCGCTCACACAGCAACCCCAGGGGCAGTCGAGCCTGCCCGCGCACTAACACGCTGGCCTTAATGCCTTGCGCCCGTTGCACTAACGACCCTAACTCGCAAACACAGTAGAACCCCCCACTGCGCCTTTTTTTTCCATGTTCGGGGAGTTGCGCCACAGGCCTGGGGGCGTGGCTCCAGATTTGACCTCGCGCTTCCCCACTCGCGGGAACCTTAGCTCATTTCCGCCTATTTCCGCAGGCCACGTAGACACTTCCTCTCCCAGTGGGGGGCTGGGGGGGAAACACAAACCCATAATGCCTCCCTGCAGGAAAAAAAAAAAAAAAAAAAAAAAAAAAAAAGGAAAAGGAAAAAAAAAAAACCCTCTGGTCAGAGGAACTCTGGGTCGTGAAATAGGCCACGTGAACATTCTGCCCTATAGACTTATGACCCAACGGCTGTCACGCTTTTGGAGGGCGGGCTAAAAACCTAAGAGGGCGAACGTCATTGGCCGGAACTCGCACTGACGGAGGAAGAGGATTGGTTTGCTGTAGGCCTTAACAGTGAAGAAGCAGGTTGCTAGCACCCGCCTTTACTGCGGCGAAGTGTCATTGCTGACGTGGGGGTGGTTGTCCAATCATTTGGTTATGGAACATTCTAAAACTTAGACAAGACGATTGTGATTGGCTGAAGGGCATACGCCCTCCTCCAGGGTGACGTGTCTGCCTATGGATATCAGTTGCCAGAGAAACCTGGCTTTACTATGGCGGTTGGAGGAACGGCAGTGATCACACGTCGGCTGCTGGGAAGATCTGGATTCTCGTTTCAGGTTTCGGGGTGGGGGTGGGGAGAAAGGGTCGATGATTTCCTCTTTTCGTCGGGTATAGACGGGATTAGCTAGTTCCTTCACAATCGGTCAGAGCTGGATTCAGATTCCTGCTCGCCAACGCCCAGCTTGGGCTAGGCTCCTGTTCTTTCTGTGTCTCGGTTTCCATGTTTGTAAAATGGTGATAATAATAGTATCTACCTCAGAGACGTGTACTGTATAATAGTGCGTATAAGGCACGTAATATGAAGCCTGGCCCCTGAAGATATTAGCTATTGTTATGGAGATAAATAATACGTAATAGAATGAGAAAAATTATAAATTATATAAATTCGCTAATTGTAGTGCCCTTTCTGCCATCGACTTCTTTCCTAGAATAAATTAAAGATAAAAGAGATATATCAATTTTTACCAATGAAATAATTTGCTATTTGGGAATTGCCTCAAAATTGCAGAGATTGTAATTTTCCCATGTTGAAAAGTTAAATAAAAGGTAGGGGGGTGGAGTGCGAGAAAGAAAGAGATGGAGAACGAGAGCGAGCTGGAGATGAACCACATGCGATGAGTAGGCCTTGTTTGGATCCTGAATCGAACACACCAACTGTAAAAATATGTTTAAGACGCATCGGGAAAATTGGAACATGGATTCGATATTTGATGTTTTTTAAGGAATTGATGTCAGTTTTTTTAGGCGTCACAGTAGTATTGTGATTATGTTTTCAAATTGTCCTTTTTTGTAGAGACATATACGAAAATATTTACGGATTAAATAATATAATGTCTGGGATTGGCTTCTAAATACATTAATGACTAGGATTTGCTTCAAAATAATCTAAGCGGTAGGGGGAAATGGGGAGGGGTAAAGATGAAACAAAATTGGCCCTAAATTAATAATAGTTTTTGCTAAGTGATAGGCAGTGGGTTCCGTATATTAATCTGCTTTCCTTGGTATACGTTTAAATTTTTGTATAATAAAATACAGAAGTCAGATATTCCCGTGAGCTTGAAAAAGTCGGGGGTGGGGGGGAGCAGTGGGTGGGGTTATAGATGAAACAAGATGGCCTTCAGTTGGTAATTGTTGAAAGCTGGATGATGGATTCGTGTAGGTTTGTAATACTATTCTTTTATTTCATCCATTTGAAATTATCTTTAAGGAAAAGTTAAAAAAATTGTCAGAAATTATATAAGTATACAATAAGTTAAATTTGAAAATGTAGCCACAAGAAAGGAAAAAGAAATACTTGTACATTATTTATCAGCTTTGGTGTCCTTTGTGTGTGATGAAATTGCATTGGCTGATGTAGAAGAAAGCCATATCTCATATCTTTTTATTTTATGTCCTTTCCTGTCCTTTTGTTTGACCTTCTAGGTCACCATCAGAAAAGCTAAGTTTGCTGTATAGTGAGGATCAGGAGGTCTGATCCTGATTGCAGAACCTTCCCTGATTACAGAATCTTGGGTAAGTGCCTCCCTTCTGGCCTCAGTTCTTAAACAAGATAATACCACATAACCTTCCTAACTGTCCAGGAATATTTTGAAAATTAATAAGCTCCTATCTGGGAAAGTAGTCTAAATTCTGAGAAGAGAAGGATGGAGCTAAGTCCATTGGTAGTTTCAGTATAGAAAGTACATAAGCAACAGAGGACTGTGTAATCTTACATCCCTTGATAAAAGATATTACAGTCAATCCCCTGTAGTAGTTCCACAGTTCCATATATTACATTTTTCTTTGGAGCATCCTATATGCAGCATAGTTTAGTGGTTAAGAGCAAATACTTCCTGAATTTAAATCCTGGCTCTGCCACTTAACTATGTGATCTTGGGTAAGATACTTACTCACTTTATACCTAAGTTCCTCGTATATGAAACAGAGATGATAATAATAGTTCCTACTTCGTAGGATTGTTGAGAGCATTACATGTAAAGTACAAGGACAGTGCATGGCACATGTAAGTATTTGCTTTAATAATAATTATGGTTCTGTTAGTCCTGATAATCTCCTGTTTTATCTACACATTTACACCTACTTCTAAAAGCAGTGGATATCTCTTTTTGGAATTGTGTAAAAATAATAATAATTAATACTGTTGGTTTCTCTCCTCGTTTTCCAGAAGCAGCAGTTACCACTAGAACTGAATTCCGAAATTATGACTTCTGGCTTGTCTTAACAATCTAGAAAGGTTTTAAGTATATTGATCATATTTATTTATGAGGAAATTTCCAGGAGCTATAATTTTAGCTAGCAGTTCAAACCAAATTTATAAATAAGCAAGTCTTTTCACTGAATATTCAGTCTGCTAACAGCTTTTACATCATTCCTCCTTTGTCTCAGACTTAAAAAAAATCTATTAAATGTAATGGAAATGTTTCAAGATCCAGAAGAGAAAATTGATATGAATGTAACTGATATGGTATATGTGCATTTAAAGGTTTATTCCAACAAAATGTTATTCACACTCTTTTCTGACATATGCATACACAAAAGATGTTAGCATTTGCAGTCTGATTCCCAAATGACACATTGCTTGTGTGGAGAGATGAAGTAAGGTTTGAAGGTTTTTCAACCTTTTGACAGCTACATATGGAGTCACTGTAATTTCCTTTTTTTCCTCCCATCTGAAAAGTAGGTTTCAGAGGAGGGCCCTGCCCTCGTGGAAGAGATGCATTAGATCAGTAGGCACAGAATACCTTTACATGAGACCATTTAGAGAATGATTAGGGGCTAAAGGTAGGGGGTGGACTGTTGAGCCAACAGGGACTCAGAGAAAGCAAGGGTCAGGGTGACCTGAAATAGAGAAAAAAAATCTCACAAAGGAAGAGGACCTTGACCTGGCTCTCAGAGAATGGGTGGAACTTAGGAGGGAATGAACCCAGTCTGAATGGTATGTCTACAAAGTATACTATGTGCAGTGATGATTAACTGAAAAATTGGGCTGACCATTTGTGAGATCCATGAATAAGAGTAGATCAGAAAGTCAGTGTGAGTTTTAAATATATATATTTTATTATAAAATGTTAATCACATAATATGTGAAGTCACTATTGATAACCTTTTCTATTGGTCCTAGTGTTTTGCTATTTAAAATAATACTGCATTAAATATTCTTAGTGTAGCCATCCAGTTACAAGTGTTATTCAAGAGCAACATTTATGCCTTTAAGCTGTGATAATTAAATTAATACGGGGGAGAACTGTCAGATATACCACTGTGACAGAACAGATGGCCTAGAGACAGTGATACCTTTAAAAGTTAAATAATTGCTGAGCGCGGTGGCTCACGCTTGTGATCCCAGCACGTTGGGAGGCCAAGACGGGTGGATCACGAGGTCAGGAGTTCAAGACCAGCCTGGCCAAGATGGTGAAACCCCCGTCTCTACTAAAAATACAGGCGGGTGCCTGTAATCCCAGCTACTCGGGAGGCTGAGGCAGAGAATTGCATGAACCCAGGAGGCGGAGGTTGCAGTGAGGCGAGATCGCGCCATTGCACTCCAGCCTAGGTGATAGCGAGACTCCGTCTCAAAAAAGAAAAAAAAAAAAGTTAAATAATCAAAAATAATTTGGAAGAGAGTACCTTGAAAGACCCATATACCTCTGAGAATTTAGAATGTTATAAAGTGGTATTTCATACCAGTGGGGAAAGAATAAACTCTTCAGTGGTTAATATTAGAAAAAGTTAGTTATATATTTGAGGAAAACTATAAAAGTACCAATAATGGGTAGGAAATCACTTCTACAGTATTTTTGGAGCATTTTCCCTAAGCATGATGTAAAAGCCAAAGGTCACAAGGGAAAAAGCTGATAGATTTGTCTGTGATATTGAGAGATGTATGCACATATACATACAACAGTCTTACGGTAAGACACCATTAGACAAAGTGATGGTTTGGAAAAAAATTTCCAACATAAAATAAAACTAATATTTAATTGTTAGAAAATAATAGCAAACAACCTAGTAGAAGAGAACAAAAATATTCATATAAGATAACGTATGTGACCAGTGAATGTATGAAAAGATGATATCACACAAATTCAAATGAAATTATCTTTTTTTTTTTTTTTTTTTTTTTTTTTGAGACGGAGTCTCGCCCTGTCTCCCAGGCTGGAGTGCAGTGGCCGGATCTCAGCTCACTGCAAGCTCCGCCTCCCGGGTTCACACCATTCTCCGGCCTCAGCCTCCTGAGTAGCTGGGACTACAGGTGCCCACCACCTCGCCCGGCTAGTTTTTTGTATTTCTTAGTAGAGACGGGGTTTCACCATGTTGGCCAGGATGATCTCGATCTCCTGACCTCATGATCCGCCCGTCTCGGCCCCCCAAAGTGCTGGGATTACAGGCTTGAGCCACCGCGCCTGGCCTCAAATGAAATTATCTTACTACATGTTAGGTTGGCCCAAGAAAAGCCCCTCTCCTTTTTTTTTTCAAAAAGATGTTTTTCCAATGTTCTTGAAGTCATGAAAAACTTTTATATTTTTGTTAGGAGTACAAATTAAAACAGTTCTTGAAGTCATGAAAAACTTTTATATTTTTGTTAGGAGTACAAATTAAAACAGTTCTTTGTGCGATGAATTTGGCTCTATCTCATAAAAGTTATAAATAAGCAAATCCTTTGGCTAAATAGTTCCTCTTGGAATATATCCTTCAGAGGTACTTAATGCTCTAATATTTGTATACACTGATGTGCATTGCAGTATTTTTGTGATAATGAAATATTGGGAAAAGCCTAAATGTTCAGAGACTGGTTATAGTACATAACAGATTAAAGAATGTGTTATGACTATTAAAAAGAAAAGGTAGGTATATACTGACATGGAAAGATGCCCATGATAAGTGAGCAAGGCAAGGTGCAGAGCAGTATGCATCTCACATTTGTCAAAACAAATAAATGCATGCTATATATTCACATACCTATGTGTATAATATACACATTGAGTCTTTAAAGTTACGTTTTATGTGAATGTGTACATGAAAAGATTTGAAGGCATACATGCTCATTCAGAGGATACTCCTAGGATTGGGGTGGGAGAGGGGTAGGTGATAAGGGAAGAATGTTCACATCTTTATATAATTTGTTATCTATAGGTATATAAAAGAAATATAAATGGTACCACAAGATCTAATTCATTGAGGTGAACGAAGATTGTCAGTTCGTAACTTACAAACTACTGGATGGATTAAGGAGTTAAAATAAAAGAAATCTATCAAAATATTTGTTCTTAATTTTTAAACTTAAAAATGAAAGGAAAAAAAGTATTTTAAAATGATCCCCAATGCTGGCCAGAGCGTGAGGCATAGTAAATATTTTTACACACTGCTTGTAGGATTAGAAATTGGCACAACTTGTGCAGAGGGAGTAATTTGGCAATGTATTGGGAGTGTTCTATCTCTTGACTCACTAAGCCCACTTCTGAGAGTCTTAAAGGAATAATAGGAAGCAAGAGTAAAAAATGTTTACACAAAATGTTTTCATTGATTATTAAAGAATATATTGGTGGGAGGTGTGCACTGGATATTTCCAGGGAAGGAGTGGCTAAGTAAATTAAGGTATGCTCATTTGATGGAATATCTCTTATATGACTCAAAATGGATGCATATTATAACCTTAACATGGGAAGATTATTGGTTATCATAGTAAAGTTTTTAAAAGGAAAAATCTAAGCTTTGATAGCCATTATGAGCTCACCTCTGTTTAAATGTATTATTTATACAGAGATTAAACTGTTGTAAAAATTAAAGATAGAAAACTAAGACAAACATAAGTACAAAAGTGTTTTCTGAATTTCTGGTTTACCCTAGAGCTGACCTGTAGGGAACAGGTGGGAAAATAGTTGATGACTGTTGTCCCTAATTTATGCCCCAATTTTCTCCATGTGTTGAGTCACAGCTCCCTCCACCCCTATTCACAATTATATACCCACCAGGGACCAGTCTGACTTCCAGAATGGTTTTTGTCCAGCTTGGCTCTGCTTAATGTGTTTTACACAGTCTGGTTGGCACTAGGTCACGTTGCTTTCTTTAGGTGATATTTTCACTATCATCCTTTTGTTTTATGGAACCTCTGCACTATGAGCCCCAAGATGGGCTTTCTGGATTTACTCATGCAGGTTGAGTATCCCTAATCTGAAATGCTCCGAAATCTGAAACTTTCTGAGTGCCAACATGCCACTAGTAGATGATTCCACATCTGACCTCATGTGACAGGTGAAAAAGAATGTTTAAAATACTATATAAAATTACCTTCAGACTATGTGTATAAGGTGTATATGAAACAAATGAATTTCCTGTTTACACTGGGGTCCCATCCCTAAGATATTCTCATGCATATGCAAATATTCCAATATCTGAAACACTTCTCATCCCAAGCATTTTGGATAAGGAATACTCAACCTGTAGTAACAATTCTCAGAAGTCTTCAGATACTGTATCTGCTCTGTCCTGGTCACAAAGCAATTCTTTTAGAAACATTATTCTAGAAGCATGATAGCTTACAATTTAATGCCATGATACGCTGGCCACTATCACCACTGTCTGATCCTTCACAGGATGTGTCTCCGTGTCCCTCTCAGCCAGAAAGTTTCTGATTCCCACAGGGATCAGTCTCCATATTTACAAATTTTGATGCTTTCTGAAGACTGACTTTACCCTTGAATTTCTGCTCAAAGCTTTGTGCTCTTTCAGTTAGAGGATATTGTTTGCTTAGTGAAAGTACTAGCATCCAGGCCTCTCTTCCCAATAACTGGCTTTCCTGATTCAGGGATCTAGTCTTCAAGCATGCGTGCATATTTATTTATTTATTTGACAGAGTCTCACTGTCACCCAGGCTGGAGTGCAGTGGCACAATCTCCTGGCTCACTGCAACCTCCACCTTACAGGTTCAAGCGATTCTCCTGCCTCAGCCTCCCAAGTAGCTGGGATTATAGGTGTGCACCACTATGGCTGGCTAATTTTTGTATTTTTAGTAGGGACGGGGTTTCACCATGTTGGCCAGGCTGGTCTTGAACTTCTGACCTCAAGAGATCCACCCACCTCAGCCACCCAAAATGCTGGGATTACAGGCTTGAGCCACCGTGCCCGGCCTTCTTTTCTTTTCTTTTCTTCTCTTTTTGCCCACAGGTGCTACTACCAAACATTTTTTTGTTTGTTTGTTTTTTTTTTTTGAGACGGAGTCTCGCTCTGTCGCCCAGGCTGGAGTGCAGTGGCCGGATCTCAGCTCACTGCAAGCTCCGCCTCCCGGGTTTACGCCATTCTCCTGCCTCAGCCTCCCGAGTAGCTGGGACTACAGGCGCCTGCCACCTCGCCCGGCTAAGTTTTTGTATTTTTAGTAGAGACGGGGTTTCACTGTGTTAGCCAGGATAGTCTCGATCTCCTGACCTCGTGATCCGCCCGTCTCGGCCTCCCAAAGTGCTGGGATTACAGGCTTGAGCCACCGCGCCCGGCACCAAACATTTCTTATCTCTGATTTTCTTCTCAGAGCCTCCCTGATGCCTGCCTACACAGTGTTAACGGCTACAGAATGGCTGATGGGCTTTTTCTTTAGGTGAAAGTTGTAGTTACTAGAGAAACCTGGTTTGAGGCTGGTCTACCATCATCCCTTTCTCAGAAGTTACCCTGATTTTAACAGGCTGGTATTTATCTGTCTAGATATTTCCATGCACATTTATAGACATCTGTTTAAAACACACAAATGAGAGCACACTCTTCCCAAACTAATGTTTATTTCTGTACCTGTACTATCTTTTTTTTCTTTTTTTGGAGATGGAGTCTCTGTCGCCCAGACTAGGGTGCAGTGGTGCGATCTCAGCTCGCTGCAACCTCCGCCTCTCGGGTTCAAGCGATTCTCCTGCCTCAGTCTCCTAAGTAGCTGAGACTATAGGCGTGCGCCACCATGCCCGGCTACTTTTTTTGTTTTTTGTATTTTTAGTAGAGACGGGGTTTCACTACGTTGCCCAGGCTGGTCTCAAACTCCTGACCTCATGATCTGCTTGCCTCGGCCTCCCAAAGTGCTGGAATCACAGGTGTGAGCCACCGCGCCCGGCCTTATCTGTCTCTTTACGATCGTATTGCATTTGGGATCCTATAGTATTACGCCATCTGCCTATTTACCTAATAATATATATTGAACATCTTTCCATGTCAGTACATGGATCTCTGCTTAATTCATTTGAATGTTCTTCTGTAGTAGTCATACATAATTTATGTTATCATTTTCCTATTGAAGAATAGGTAGGTGTTTTCCAGTTCTTCAGTACTGCAAACACCACTACATTGAACATCTTTGTATCCATGTACAAATACTCTGGCAAGGTACTGTGCTAGCTGTTCAGCCTCATCACCTTTATGAAATTCTCACAGGAGCCTGTGAAGGCTATGGGTAATTTGCCACATTCCACAGATGAGAAAAAGAGGCTAAGAGAGCTTACATGTCTTGCCTGAGGTCTCACAACTCATCAGTGATGGAGCCTAACTGAAGTAAAGGTCTGTCTGACAGCAGAACTCAAGTATTTTCTCTGATACCACGATTTACAATTGCAGTATATGATTGATATATGTGTTTAAACATATAAACCACATGTTTATAAATTACTCATTTTTTTCTTTTCCTTAGATGATTTCACAAAAGTTCATCTTCATTGCAGATACCTGCCTTTCTTTCTAGGTTGTATCTCCCACTTCACCCTTCTAGACCATCCCAGAAGATCTATAAGATTTCATCTGGGAAATCACTAGGAGTTCTTGGAAGGGAAAGAAGGAAGATTGTGTAAGTCAAAGGAATTGTTTCCTCTGTCACACCGTAAGAATAATGGAAGACTATTTTTTGCATCCTTTTCTCACTAGCACTCCCTGCTGCACTTTACACTGTAGATTATACCTGTTTCTTCTTGGAACGCTCATCTTCTTTGGCATCCAAAATGACATTCTTCTAATTCTGTTATGGCTACTCTTAAAATTTTTGTTTCATTTGTGGTCTCTATGCATTCCTTAAATGCCTTTCGTCCTTACGTTTTCCAGAATTCCATACTTGAAGTTCTTCCTCTCTTCTCCCTGATTTCATTGGCCCTCGTAGTGTCTACTACCAGCTATGTGATGTTTACTCTCAGATCTCCATTTCTGGCTTTTACTTCTCACCCGAGCTTTAATTGTGTGTGTGTGTGTGTGTGTGTGTGTGTTGGGGGGGTACCCAGTTAGCTGGACGAAACTGAGCTTTATAATTTTATGTTTAACTGTACACCTCACACGCAATAGGCCCAACACAACTTTTCCTTCAATCCATTTTCTCCTCCTGTAAATGGAGTATTATCATTTGGTGATAATACTAATGACCTAATCACCCATACCTGGGAGTCATCACTGACTCCTCCCTCACCAATCTTTTTTTTAGCTTCTTCAACAATCACTGACGGTGGTGTCATGTACCATTTCTTGTATCTGCTCCCAAGCCATTTTGTGCCTATAACTATCATTATACTAACCTTATTGTTTTATAATTGTCACTTTAGATATTTGGATCTCTAGCACTTACCATAGTACCTGTCCCAAAGCAGATATGCAGTAATGTATAATGACAAACTGAATAGATTAATGAATGGATGAATTACCTATGTTCTGTCATTTTATTTCTGATTCCAAACTAAACCCTAAATTCAGTGCTTTTATTAAATTCATTAAATACCCAGGTTTGAAATTGCAGATTCCTCCCTCCTTTGTTTACTATATTCTTAATGATTTCTGTATTCTTCAGTTTCTCTTGCCTCTGTCATCATCCTAGTTCAGACCTTTCTGGACTTACACAAGAACCTTTACTGTTATTCATTTTGCCCTTAGTCAACTAAGTATAACCTTCCCTATTCCATATTGTCATTTCTCCTGTTCAGAAGTCTTAAATTTCAACTCCACTGCCTTTTATAGTTTCTTTTTCATTTAATCCCTTCTTTCTTTAAAATTGCTTTCCTATCTTGTGAGTGGCATCAACAGAGTAATTTGTGGGTAGATGTGATGAGTATTTGGGTGAGATGAGAGTAGTGGCTGGTAGTGAGGATCAGAGAGAGGGAAAGGAGGTAAAAAAAAAAAAAATCACTTATAAAGAGTCCTGAAATGGGATTTAAAATCCAGATTTTAAGGGAGTTAGAATGTGTTATGCTCTGATGGGCCTTTATGAAACATAAAGGTTGCCATAGAAAACAACCAAGTAAAATATTTTATATATTACAGTGGTTGGAATAAAAACAGGGTTGAATGAGTTCCAGAAAGCAGGGTTCTCAACCTCGTGGACAGCAATCTGCAGAAGAAGAGAACTTCAAAAAACCAACTAGAAGCAACATGCAGAGAAGTAAGATGAGAGGGGCCTCCTCGGGAAAGAAGACAGCTGGTCCACAGCAGAAAAATCTTGAACCAGCTCTCCCAGGAAGATGGGGGGGTCGCTCTGCAGAGAATCCCCCTTCAGGATCCGTGAGGAAGACCAGAAAGAACAAACAGAAGACTCCTGGAAACGGAGATGGTGGCAGTACCAGCGAAGCACCTCAGCCCCCTCGGAAGAAAAGGGCCCGGGCAGACCCCACTGTTGAAAGTGAGGAGGCGTTTAAGAATAGAATGGAGGTTAAAGTGAAGATTCCTGAAGAATTAAAACCATGGCTTGTTGAGGACTGGGACTTAGTTACCAGGCAGAAGCAGCTGTTTCAACTCCCTGCTAAGAAAAATGTAGATGCAATTCTGGAGGAGTATGCAAATTGCAAGAAGTCGCAGGGAAATGTTGATAATAAGGAATATGCGGTTAATGAAGTTGTGGCAGGAATAAAAGAATATTTCAATGTGATGTTGGGCACTCAGCTGCTCTACAAATTTGAGAGGCCCCAGTATGCTGAAATCCTCTTGGCTCACCCTGATGCTCCAATGTCTCAGGTTTATGGAGCACCACACCTACTGAGATTATTTGTAAGAATTGGAGCAATGTTGGCCTATACGCCCCTTGATGAGAAAAGCCTTGCATTATTGTTGGGCTATTTGCATGATTTCCTAAAATATCTGGCAAAGAATTCTGCATCTCTCTTTACTGCCAGTGATTACAAAGTGGCTTCTGCTGAGTACCACCGCAAAGCCCTGTGAGCGTCTACAGACAGCTCACCATTTTTGTCCTGTATCTGTAAACACTTTTTGTTCTTAGTCTTTTTCTTGTAAAATTGATGTTCTTTAAAATCGTTAATGTATAACAGGGCTTATGTTTCAGTTTGTTTTCTGTTCTGTTTTAAACAGAAAATAAAAGGAGTGTAAGCTCCTTTTCTCATTTCAAAGTTGCTACCAGTGTATGCAGTAATTAGAACAAAGAAGAAACAGTAGAACATTTTATTGCCTAGTTGACAACATTGCTTGAATGCTGGTGGTTCCTATCCCTTTGACACTACACAATTTTCTAATATGTGTTAATGCTACGTGACAAAACGCCCTGATTCCTAGTGCCAAAGGTTCAACTTAATGTATATACCTGAAAACCCATGCATTTGTGCTCTTTTTTTTTTATGGTGCTTGAAGTAAAACAGCCCATCCTCTGCAAGTCCATCTATGTCGTTCTTAAGCATTCTATCTTTGCTCAAATTGTTGAAGGATGGTGATTTGTTTCATGGTTTTTGTATTTGAGTCTAATGCACGTTCTAACATGATAGAGGCAATGCATTATTGTGTAGCCACGGTTTTCTGGAAAAGTTGATATTTTAGGAATTGTATTTCAGATCTTAAATAAAATTTGTTTCTAAATTTCAAAGCAAGTAATTTGCAGTGTGCCTTTCATGTTACTGAGGCTGGTATTCTGTGGTTATTGTAGAAATTTTAGAAAACATAGTAAGAACAAATGCAAATAAGAATTGTGTAATTCTGCTGGATCATTCAAGATCCAAGCAATAAATAAATGGAACTCAAAAATGGATGATTTGACGAGAGTTAAAGAATTTTTTCCCTGAGTTGTCACCAGAGGGGTAGGGTTGTGGTGTATATTAGCTGGCTCAGGCTGCCATAACAAAGTACCAGAGACTGAGTGGCTTAAACAATAAATTTATTTTCTCACAGTTCTGGATGTTGGAAGTCAGATCAAGGTGTTGCCAGAGGATTTTTTTTGAGGCCTCTCTCTTTGACTTCTACACAGCTGTCCTCCCTGTCATCACATGGCCTTTTTCTCTGTATCTGTGTCCTAATCTCTTCTAAGGACACTAGTCACTGGATTAGGACCCACCCCAGTGACCTCATTTAATTTAGCTATCTCTGTAAAGACCCTATTTCCAACTACAGTCACATGCTGAGGTATTGGGGATTAGGACTTCAACATGAATTTGGTGGGTGTGGGGAGGGGTGGGTGCACAATTCAGGGCATAACATAGTGTTACTACCCCTCTGCAAAGGAGACCAGAGGAAAGGAAGTGGGGAGGAGCAGAGGGAGTGGGAGGTAAGGGAGGGGTTACTGGAATGGTATACAGCTGTGTGGAAAGGTCCACCTGACAGTAGCTGTAATCTTCAGGATGCAGTCAGCTCACAGCAACCCTGAAAGAGAAAATGAAATGAGAGGGAATAAATGCTTGACTTCGCGCTCTTCCGAACATCTGCTGGGTATTTCTCTTGGCCAAATTGGAAGCTGGAGGGCAAGGAAGACCTTTTGTATAGTCTGTGTTGGTAAGTGTGGGGGACACAGCAGGAAGGAAAGTAGATGGTGGGGAGGGGGGCGGAGGAGGGTGGTTGTGGGTGGTGAGTGGGAGGAGGACAAACGGGAGATACAAGCACACACCTGAAATAGTTAATACTTTACCATATATTCTTGGAATTATGTGTCTATACATAAATATTTGTAATAAAGATCACACAACTTTTTTTTTTTAGTAGAGACGGGGTTCACTGTGTTAGCCAGGATGGTCTCGATCTCCTGACCTCTGATCCGCCTGCCTCGGCCTCCCAAAGTGCTAGGATTACAGGCGTGAGCCACCGCGCCCAGCAACATGCATGTTAATATATATTTCTCTTTATTTTTTTAGAGAAGTGGGGTCTCACTCTGTCACCCAGGCTAGAGTGCAGTGGTGCCACTATAGCTCGCTGCAACTTTGAACTCCTGGGATCAAGGGATCCTCCTGTCTCAGCCTCTCAAGTAGCTGGAACTGAGGATGTATGCCACTAAGGCTGGCTAATTTTTTTTGTTGTTGTTTTGTAGATGGGGGTCTTGCTATGTTGCCCAGGCTGATCTCAAACTCTTGGCCTCAAGTGATCCACCTCAGCCTCCTACGTAGCTGGTAATATCTCAAAAACTGATAATTTAATATGTCCCAGTTAAACGTATAGGTAGTTTCTTTTAGTTTGGATGATTTATTCTTGTTAATTGTTTCATTAAAAAAAATCTTAGGAATATTCAGGAAAGTCATAAAGTACTTTATTAGGTCCAAAACTAGGCCATCCTATTGATTTTAAAAAGGGGGCAGTTATAATAAGTGGACCCAAATTCACATATGGACTCTGTTGATTTAGCAAGTTTCTCTATTTTAATACTATAGAGATGATGTTGCTTTATCTATCCAGACATCTAGATGGTTTCCCTTCTAAAACTGAAGGGCAATTTAAAGAGTATATTTACGCCCATGACATTCAGTGCCTAGTTAGACTGGGCACAGTAGCTCACGCCTGTAATCCCAGCACTTTGGGAAGTCGCAGGAGGATTGCTTGAGGCTAGGAGTTCAAGATATACAAAGGAAATTCAAGGCTAATAAAACTAGTTTATTTTTAAATGACCTAAAACATGAAAATGGAAAAATTCTGAGATTGGAAATTAAGGAGAAGTTGCCACATAGAAAAATTTGTTATGAAATGGTACCCTAAAAGTGTATTTTGGACACCAAAACAAATCAGGGTAACAGAATGGAAATATCTGTGTCTGTGTATATGTGTTTAATTTGTTAGATATGTTAGAGGGAATATTTGAATTAGTGAAAGGATGGGATAGTCAAAATATTTGAGGGGAATGTTAGATCTTTTGCTTTACACTTTATTCCAAAGTACATTCCAAATGAATTAAAGATTTACATTTGATAAGTGAAACCATAGATTGTTCGTTTAAAATGAAGGATATTTTATCATGGCTCAGGTGACCTTTCTAAATATTATTGACAGGATACCTACAGGAAAAGGTGGATAGATTTTCATACATAAATACTTTAAATAACTTTATTATAAAACAACATGAGAGGAATTAATAGGCATGCAACACAGAAGAACAGAAGAATCACAACACATAAATACAAATTGTTAATATCTTTAAAATTTAAAGGATTTTTTTACAAATTATAAGAGACAAGGGAGATAGGCCATAGATGCACATAGGCTAATTTTGAAAAGAAATGCAAATTGCAAGTAAACAGGTTCATTTTCCCGAGGCATAAATACTTAAAATAATGAAGTATTTTCTACCACTGTTGTCATCCCCCTTGCAATAGGTGCTAGTAAGTTATTGAACATACTTTTAGGTGTCTAGTCAATATATTGTCAGAGTAGTAGAAACCAGGCTAGGTTGTAGGCTGGCTACATTGTGACCATCACACCATCAAGTGATGACTAGACCCATCAGGTGTCAATTATTCTTCCCCAAATTCTGGACTGTTTTGGTTATGGTGTAGACAGAGAGGGGGAGTGGCAGGAGAAAGGATCAATGTAAAGAAGAAAGGAGGTTTGATAATTATATGCAGCCCATTGATTACTGAACCTAATTATCACATTTCTCTAACACTGGTACACAGCACATAGAAGTTGCTCATTAAATGTGCATTCAATGAAGACTACGTCTTAGACCTTGCATCTTAGTGAATACTTCATTTAAATAGGCAAATCCCTGGCGTCAGATGGCTGAAATGATTCAAATTTTGCATTAGTGAATGATAGGTGACCTGATGGCAGGCTTGGGGCCTCTCATCCTCATGTCCTCTGTGGAATCTAGGGCCTAGCCAACTAACTGAGTTCTTGACCCCTATCCCATTAAGAAGACAGTTGTAACATAGCCCACGATATTCATGAAAACATTCCAAAAGAAAATAAGGATTTGTTAATGAAAGTTTGAATAGGAGGCCTACCAAACAGATATGGATCTTAGTTCACACCCTTCAGCATATAAGAAATGTCACATTTTCAAAGCACCTTTAAATGAATATAAATATGACTCTGATATCCAATCCTAGCATGCTAGTGGGAAATCCACATCAGTTATTACTGGGGATTCCTCATCTCCATTAGTTGTACAGGCATTCTATGGTCTTATCTAGCACCAAAGCCTGAGGAGATCCCTGCTGTCTTCAGCTGTCTGTCCACACTGATTAGGGATGAGGTGCTCATTTACTGAACTGGCATGGTATCTTCAGATCCCTTGTCCCTGCTGCTTCTATCCAACCCTCTGGGTAGTGGAATGTTTGCCAAGACCAGGTGACCAGCTTCCCCCGGCCCATCACAGAGTCTTCTTTGGGTCCTGATACAGAGAAATGCTCATGTCTCTGCTACTGAAAGGAAGTATAGACCCTGACCTCTATTCTCTTGCTGCCCTAAAATGCCCTCCATTCCCATCCAGGGACATCTGGCTTGACTTCATCAATGAATATAATCCTTTTCAGAATATATGGACTGGGCACAGTAGCTCACGCCTGTAATCCCAGCACTTTGGGAAGTCGCAGGAGGATTGCTTGAGGCTAGGAGTTCAAGACAAGCCTGAGCAACATAGCAAGACCTAATTTCTTTTTTTTTTTTTTTTTGAGACGGGGTTTCGCTGTGTCGCCCAGGCTGGAGTGCAGTGGCCGGATCTCAGCTCACTGCAAGCTCCGCCTCCCAGGTTCACGCCATTCTCCTGCCTCAGCCTCCCAAGTAGTTGGGACTACAGGCGCCTGCCACCTCGCCCGGCTCATTTTTTGTATTTTTAGTAGAGACGGGGTTTCACTGTGTTAGCCAGGATGGTCTCGATCTCCTGACCTCTGATCCGCCTGCCTCGGCCTCCCAAAGTGCTAGGATTACAGGCGTGAGCCACCGCGCCCAGCAACATGCATGTTAATATATATTTCTCTTTATTTTTTTAGAGAAGTGGGGTCTCACTCTGTCACCCAGGCTAGAGTGCAGTGGTGCCACTATAGCTCGCTGCAACTTTGAACTCCTGGGATCAAGGGATCCTCCTGTCTCAGCCTCTCAAGTAGCTGGAACTGAGGATGTATGCCACTAAGGCTGGCTAATTTTTTTTGTTGTTGTTTTGTAGATGGGGGTCTTGCTATGTTGCCCAGGCTGATCTCAAACTCTTGGCCTCAAGTGATCCACCTCAGCCTCCTACGTAGCTGGTAATATCTCAAAAACTGATAATTTAATATGTCCCAGTTAAACGTATAGGTAGTTTCTTTTAGTTTGGATGATTTATTCTTGTTAATTGTTTCATTAAAAAAAATCTTAGGAATATTCAGGAAAGTCATAAAGTACTTTATTAGGTCCAAAACTAGGCCATCCTATTGATTTTAAAAAGGGGGCAGTTATAATAAGTGGACCCAAATTCACATATGGACTCTGTTGATTTAGCAAGTTTCTCTATTTTAATACTATAGAGATGATGTTGCTTTATCTATCCAGACATCTAGATGGTTTCCCTTCTAAAACTGAAGGGCAATTTAAAGAGTATATTTACGCCCATGACATTCAGTGCCTAGTTAACAAGGTGGGTCCATAACAAATAGCTGTTATAACTGTTATTTATTATTGTTATCAATGTCTTCGTCATCAACAAGAATAATCCTGTTTTCATTCAGGAGAATGTATGTGGATTGGTATGGAAGCATGTTGTGAAATAAGTTGCATGACACTCATAAAACACCTGAAAAGGAAAGTAGTTAGTAAATGTAAGGTTTGTCTTGCTTACAGCAAGTTTTTGACACAGAATAAATGTTCAGAAATTACAATTCTCTTTCCTTCCTCCCTTTCCAAAAGGAAAGGGTAAACAATATATTCCTAAGATCTGTAGTTCTCAGCGTGAGGTCCCCAGACTCTTAAGGGTCTTTGAAGATACCATTAAGAATTGAAGAGCTCTCTTCTCTTTCCGTATTGTCTCTTCTTTCTTTCTTTCTTCCTTTTTTTTCTTTCTAATTCATTATGGAGGTAATACTTAGCTGAACTTTTTCTAGAATCAAGTGAGATAATATATTTAAAAGTGTATTATTAACTATGAATTGTGGCCGGGCGCGGTGGCTCACACCTGTAATCCCAGCACTTTGGGAGGCCGAGGCGAGTGGATCATGAGGTCTGGAGATCGAGACCACGGTGAAACCCCGTCTCTACTAAAAATACAACAAATTAGCTGGGCGCGGTGGTGGGCGCCTGTAGTCTCAGCTGCTCTGGAGGCTGAGGCAGGAGAATGGCGTGAACCCGGGAGGAAGAGCTTGCAGTGAGCCGAGATCGTGCCACTGCACTCCAGCCTGGGCGACAGAGAGAGACTCCGTCTCAAAACAAAACAAAACAAAACAAAACTATGAGTTGTAATAATAATGATGATT